TTCATAAGTTACCCAACAGCAAAATGGAAAAAAACAGAAGTGTGTATTAGGAATGACCATATATCTTAAAACATTTTTGGCTATTTTCAAGGAAGCACTGTTAGAGACGAGATATTTCTCCTACGTAAACCTTATACAAAATATTTTAAAAAATTGAAAAATAAAACGTACTATCTACGTATCTCCCATAACCTACCCTAATTTTTCAGACATGTAACAGGAAACAACCATGTGATTTATTTGTTGGGTCTAATTGGACTTTAATAAGTAAGCAATTCCTATTTGCTGACCCTCCCTATTTAGGAGGGAGACTCCCGATTTTTGGCCCTGAAATTTTGCATTTTCAATCGGTGAATTTTCAGAACTATTCCTATTTTCAAAGATCTGATGATTTCATATGAAAGAACAGCTCCAAAGATGCCATTAAACAGTGTGTCTTTTTCTCTAGAATGTACATACACTCATTTTATATATGCTTTTAATTCTGAGAATGTGTGATCTCCTCCATGGAAATTTCAAAAAGCTGGCAAGTACAATGTATGCCAATTTTGTATCATGTTATCAATGTACTCGATAATGAACAGAAATTGTTTGACTGTAAAATAGTTCCGTTTGAATTTTTGGATTTTGAGTTCTTGATTTGACAAGAAAACGGCTTCAATAGCATATTTTTAGCAGGACTACTGAATGTGATCAAAAACTATTCATATAATATGTTTTATAATTTTGTTAATTTCAACAGACAGAAATATCAGTAACCTGTAGCTCGGACACTTGTGAGGATGTCAGCAGGGATGTTTTTTGTACATATTTCATTGTTGAAATGGCAGTGCTAATATTGATAATGTTGGAAGTTGCCAATGAGTTCCCAGGAATTTGCCACAATGTCAATTTCGTATCACAGATTGACATTGGATAAAAATGCCCATTTCATGAAATGATGTCAGTTTTCTTAAGAATATGCGACACAATGTCATAAGATATAATTAGATTTTTCAGTAGGTGTTTTGACGTTGCTTTCGGTACGCAGATATTAACCCTACTGCTGGTCTGTTTGATGAGAGAAATTGCATCTTTTGTTCGAAAACAGAAATATTAAAGCTTTTCAAAAATATGAAAAGCTGTTTACAGTGACACGAAAATTATGCTAAGGTATTGTGTGAAATATTTCTGGTTTGACTTGAGAAGAACAGTGTTGGGTTAGTAAGGGTTATTGTTCAGGCTCGGTAATCATGACATGTCTAACATAAGCATGGGTTTATCCCTCAATCTGCTCATATTTATTGGCTATTTTTTTTATTGCTTTCTCTGCATTCTATTCAGGAAATTAAACGTTTTGGGGCACTTAAAATGTAATTCCGGCGGTTTGTTATTGGCATATATAATACCAACAAAACTTGGCTGTCTGAATGTGAAGGTGATCGAGGCAATGAGGTGGCCATTTTCTATGTTTTGTTTGTCCATAGTCGTGGACTGAACGCGTGTCAATCTATTCCTTTCAGAAATCAATCAGTTATGATAGGGGTGAAATCTAAACTAGCACATCTTTGTACGCCATTACCTGAGAAAATTACCCCGATTTGTAAGGCACGGTCGCCCATTATAATCTTGTGTATGTATCACTAGAAAATTCTGTAGAATATGTCGTAGAGTAGACGTAGTATCGGACAGAAAGCATTTTGGACAGAAAAATTGTCCTGATATTTTCTAATGTTAATTGGTTTAAGCACTTGCCCCAAGATTTATGTTGTGTGATAAGGATCTTAATGTTTCCATTCCATTCCATTCTACCTAGGTTGAATGGTAGGTCATTACTGGTCATTCATACAAGGAATTCACTCTTCATGCATTCATCAAGCAGATCTGTCAACAGAATTTTCACATAATTTGATAAAAAAAAAAAAAAAAAATGATCAGCTTATTATATTTTATTCTGGTGTCTTAAGTTCCTGTTTTAGAGGGGGAAAAAAATTCATGTTTCCTGTGATGTATAAATAGGATTTAGAGGGAAGATTTATCGCAGCTTACTAAAGTATACAACAGAAAGCATGAGGTCGACACAGGACTGGGAGCTCTGCTAGGATCGCCAATGTTGGTGTATAGGTGCATGATGTGTATATGTAGTCAGAAAAGGACGCCCACTTGGGCGTTCCGAACTGAATTTACAATTCAGTGTCATCAAAGTTCACAGTGTTTCAATTTATCAGAATTTATCATTCACTTTCATTTAAAAAGACACAAAAATCTAGAGTTTTAAGATATCTGGCTTACAAATAACGTTGGAGATAACGTCTGAATTGAGTTGGGTGACAGACAGGTGGCGGGGACGGGGACGTAGTAGCTGACAGATGGAAAGTTATCCACAGTTAAGGTCTCCTTGGCCTGTAAAACTTTGTCTGTTAGACCCACCCACAAATCTCACTCCCCTTTTCTGTTTGTGTAATGTGTGTGGACTTAATTGAGTTTTCAATCACAGTTTGATTTTTGTGGTCGGACACAGTTGGTTAGACAGATATATATCTCTAACACGGGAGATTTATCGATGGCTGTCATGTGTTGGCTGTTGTTCATATACTACACAGGTGGTGGATATATATAGCCATGCATCCTTCCCCATTGACTGTTATATAAGTGTTATCGATTCTCACTTAAGTACCCAATTAATAAAAAAAGAAATGTAAACTACTTCAGCTGCTGTGTTGGTGTGTCTTGTACTAATGTGTACACCGCTGGTCAACAAGACTGTTTGCTGTTCTGGCCGAGACTGTAACCTTTTTAGTTCTAAAGCAGCCCAATCATAAGGGATGCCGTCACTCTGTGATCAAACCAGGGTCCAGAAAGCAGATAGTTTTTATCCCATGTTTGTGTTGCCCAGTTTTGATCCACACAACAAATTGGTGACAGGTTGGGGTGTCTGTGACGGTTTTCTGTGATGGTGTTCAGATCAAAGTTTCTTCATGACGGTCCTCTTATCACGTTTTAATTTATTTGGTCAATAATTTTCCTATTAAGAAGGTGAGAGCAATTAACGGCTTAGTTCAGGTGATGTTGATTCTAAAGGTAGATTTACAGGTGGATGTGGATAAAGACAGGTAGACGCAAGAATCTGGCCACTACAAAAGTACAAGCATATGATATAGTGTTAATGACAGACCCAGTTATTCAGAGTTAAAGCCCCTGCATGCTTTTAGTCCAGTCCAGCACAAGTTACTGGAGAATTATCACCTATTCAGAAAGATCAAAGAAATCGTTGATTGAAGATAAAAATCGGAGGATATAAAATGGTCGAGCTGTTATTGTTTGCCGTAATTGAAAAGTTTCCCTTAGCTGGACCAAGTCTATGTTTATTGGGTTTCAGAAAGGAAAGAAAGACTTTAAAAACATTTCGCCTTCACTGACACAGGCCTGTGGGTTAGATAAACATATTGTTTGGAGATAAATTCGTGATAAATTGAAGTTGGAATGTTAAATTCATTATGTATGGTAACGAGTGCTGTATTATGAGCCCAAGTGGCTCGACATTAACACCGCCCTTTGTGGGATCATTACCTGTGACCAGGGACTGACCCAGCATAATGAGGTGCATATTGATTAGGTTTAGACTCTACCTGAGCCAGGTGCATACTGTAAGAGCTGTGATTATCTCCTCGATAAGACGCCAGAAAATCATTCAATATTACCGTAAAATTTGAAGAAAAAAATCCGCAAATATTTATGAGTCTGTCTTTGTGTGGAATTATCTAAACCATCTTTTGGTTTTTCTTTTTTATGCATTCATGGTTCAATAATAAAACCTTGAAAGTGTGTTGTTATCTGCTTTTATTCTCATGTGAATACTGATAAATTGAACTTGCATGTCGGAGTGCATGTTTCAGGCCCCCTGTACACTATATAGAAGCTTTAGTAGATTTCTCCAATACTTAGATGAGGTCCAGTCATGTATACTGATTCCCAGACTCGATGGGAAACTCAATAATATACCGCGGCTATTGTAAAAAATATTTCTGATTGAATTGAAATGTGCTGCATATTAAAGATTAGCTTGTGATCAATAGATTTAACTTCAAGAGACATGTGGAAAATAATTTACAAAAAAAACTTTTAAAAACAGTTTTCTGTTACTTTTCCCTTGATTACCTCTGAGAAAAACTTTGTATACTGAAAAATAGTGAAATATTTACAAAAAAATGCTATAAAAAACAGTTTTCTGTTATTTTTTCCTCGATTCCCTCTGAGAAAAACTTTGTATACTGAAAAATAGTGAAATATTTCGAGGATTTATGCTAAAATGAAATCGCCCAGAGGTGACCGTTTTAACCTTTATGGTCTTGTACTATAAAAAGTTTAGTATGTAGATGTTAAAAGGGACATCATACGGCTGTGGAACTTACCAAAAGGTGTTCATTTCTGTTTAACACTCCTGCATTGTTTAGATATTGTATTGTAATTTTACCACACAGGTGGCATGGCTGATCTTGATGTAAAATTACAGACTTTCAGTGTGTATCAACTCTTCTACGAAGATTCCATAAGTTACAGTCTCAATTAAAATGTTGATACATTCTTGCATGTTTAATTGGGTAATGAGAAACTTTCGGTGTGCATATCAGTCCCTTTTGTATCCCATTTTGACTAAATTAAATTAAAAAAAAGTAGCATTGTTATCGGAGAAAACAGTGTTGTATAGTAAGTAGACAAACATTTGCCATATCTCTGTTTTGTTATGCTAAGATGTAAACTGATAAGTTGTCTTTAACACTGTTCATCATCTTACATATATATGTTATATAAACATTTCTATGCTGTAGTTATGTACCTGGTATGTTAGGTTTTGTTGACTGATGTGGACTGCAAGATCAAATGCAATGATTTTTTGATTTTTTTTAAATGAATTCCCTTTTACACTTTTGTCTGAAGCCATCATTTTTTTCCTGAGATGCCATCACAGTGTTTTTGTTATCAGAGTAATGTCTGATGTTACGTCGTTTGTATATTTTCAGGTTACCCGATGGATTCACACAGCTCCTCAACCTAACTCAACTGTTTCTTAATGACACATTCCTTGACTACCTCCCAGGAAACTTTGGCAGGTAGGTACCCACCGTCACCTTCCCGGCATCCTTATTTCCCTTTAAGCTTTAATTCCCCATTTATCACTGCCTCCCAGGACATTTGGCAGGTTGGAAAACCTTGCCCCGTCCATGAAATCCTCATTCCCTTAACCCTTAATCACTAATTCCTTGACTATAATGTACATAATTAACTCCTAGGACGCTATTTATAGCCGTGAATCCTCCCTCGCCCTTATCCTTCCTCGCCATTATGCGACTATTACCACCCTCCCAGGACAGTGTGTCAGGTAGGCAAAACTTCCCCCTACCATAAATCCTCCCTTGCCCTCTACCTTTTCAGACCTCAACTATTACCAACTCCCAGAACAACTTGGTAGGTTGGTAAATTTCCCCTTTCCGTGAATCGATCCTCCCTCACCCTTAACCCCTCATTTATTGATTGGTACCGTGTCCCAGGACACTTTGGCAGGTAGGTACCAATTCCAACCTCCCCCTCCCATGAATCCTCCCTTGCTCTAAACTTCTTATTCCCTGACTCTTACCACCTTCCAGGACACTTTGGCAGATAGACCCCCACCCCCCCAAACATGATTCCTTCCTCGCCCTTTACATTTCATTCCTTGACTATTACCACCTTCCAGGACACTTTGGCAGATAGACACCCCTCCCCCACATCCATGTATACCTCCCCAGCCTGAATTTTTCCTCAAGTATTACCACCTTCCAGGACACTTTGGCAGATAGACCCCCACCCCCCACATCCATGTATACCTCCCCAGCCTGAATTTTTCCTCAAGTATTACCACCTCCCAGGACATATAAGTATTTGGAGTACACTTGAACATGTAAGTGTATCACTTATCCCGCCTCCCAAGATACTCAAATTCCTCCACTATAAACTTCTATCGAGGAGACTTTGGTACGTACACGTATCCTCATGGTTCGCTCAGTAGTACGAGTATCGTAATGGTCGAGAGTTGTTCTGGTTTCCTGAGTTAATATTAAACGAATACAACATTTAGTTATTACAACTCAGCATGAGTTCGCATTCAATGGTCAATCTAGTGCTACTTGATCAAATATTTTCACCAAGTGACAAACTAAAAATAAGATCAAACTTAGAAAAAATGATGACATTTTTATCACTCTGGGTTATAAGTGGTAGGGTTGTGAATGGTCGTGCTTTAAATAAGGTACGATTATGAATATTTAAAAAAAAATCCTGTCCACTCCACAATACTCGCATATTAAGATTGAATTTTTTTCTCTAGTGTTACACTGATAAATAGGTGTTTTGCATACACAATATATTGGTAACCTGGTGAGAGATACCCCAGAATGAAATGTAAAGGTTTCTTGCCTGTGGAGTATTCTTACCCTCTGTGTAGGGTCCCTGTATAGGAACCAGTTGTTGAAAGTGCATGACAACAGTAAACATTTGTGAATAAAAGGAATGTTTTCCTGTTCCAATGCCTCTTCTGTCCCTCCACTTATGACCCCCAATCACTGCCCGTCACCCATCTCTGCCCCCCTCTGTCTTTGCCTCTCCTCTGTCTCTGCCTCTCGTCTGTCTCTGCCCCTTCCTCAGTCTCTGCCCCCCTCTGTCTCTGCCTCTCCTCTGTCTCTGCCTCTCCTCTGTCTCTGCTTCTCCTNTCCTCAGTCTCTGCCCCCCTCTGCCTCTCGCCTGTCTCTGCCCCCCTCTGTCTCTGCCTCTCCTCTGTCTCTGCCCCTTCCTCAATCTCTGCCCCCCTCTGTCTCTGCCTCTCCTCTGTCTCTGCCCCTTCCTCAGTCTCTGCCCCCCTCTGCCTCTTGCCTGTCTCTGCCCCTTCTCTGTCTCTGCCCCTCCTCTGTTTCTGCCCCCCTCTGTCTCTGCCCCTCCTCAGTCTCTGCCCCTCATCTGTCTCTGCCCCTCCTCAGTCTCTGCCCCTCATCTGTTTCTGCCCCTCCTCAGTCTCTGCCCCTTCCTCAGTCTCTGCCCCCCTCTGTCTCTGCCTCTCCTCTGTCTCTGCCTCTCATGTGTCTCTGCTTCTCCTCTGTCTCTGCCCCTCGTCTGTTTCTGCCCCTCCTCAGTCTCTGCCTTTCCTCAGTCTCTGCCCCTCTTCAGTCTCTGCCTTTCCTCAGTCTCTGCCCCTCCCCTCCCTTGTCTCTGACCATCCTCAGTCTCTGCCCCTCCCTTGTCTCTGCCCCTCCTCTGTCTCCAGCCCTCTGTAATTCCACCAAGTGCACCCTGTAGGTGGCCAGATGTTCAGGTATGCTATTTGACCGGGAATACCCTGATCAGTGGTATTATAAACTAGATCAAAGAAGTATAGAAACTTCTCCACTTACAGAGACATGGGTTAATTGTTTCCCCCTGGTTTGCCTGGGGTGCTGTCCTCGTGTGTAGGACAAGCCCACTCCAGGGCATCTGATCACTGTCTGTTTGAAGCTTGATACACAAATTACACTGTTTTATTGTTGTTTCCCCCTAAGATGTGTCTTCTCAGTAACCTGTGGATTAAATAATTCTAACATCAGTCAGCATACGTAATGAATGTGACCAGTAATTTACATTTCTGATGTCTCGACAGTGATCTATGAGCTAGGCTTGTTACCCCAGCTCGATTTCTGATCAATTGATAAATGAACAAGTGATTCAACAATTAAAATTTAAAATCGTCACATTTAGTAGTCATTAGTGGTAGGTTATCATCATTATGAGAGGTTGTCATATTACATGATTACAAGTTCCAATCATTGACCAATGTAAGTCTGTAGGAAATCATGATTAAAAAATCTCATCCTTGACTGAGGTTTAAGCTTTGTTGATGTTACACGGCTGTGCTCCTTTGTGTTACAGACTGTCTCATCTAAAGATTCTGGAGATTCGAGAGAACCACCTGAAGACCCTACCTAAGTCTTTCTCGAGGCTTGGAGACCTTGAGAGGCTTGACATCGGCCACAACGAGTTCACAGATCTGGTGGGTCATTTGTTGCTAATTTATGCATTTTTCTAGTAGATTTCTCGTAAAAATTACAGACAAAACGTCTTCCTCAATATCAAGTGATTTACATTAATAATACTTGTTCATGTTTGACATAGTTCTGTTCCTTTGGAAGCAAATTACAAATGTGTTCACAAATTACAAGTGTGTTGACAAAATGCAGATGTGTTGACAAATTACATGTGTACGTGTGTTGACAAATTACATGTGTACGTGTGTTGACAAATTACATGTGTACGTGTGTTGACAAATTACAGGGGTACCTGTGTTGACAAATTACAGGTGTACCTGTGTTGACAAATTACAGGTGTACGTGTGTTTGACAAATTACATGTGTACGTGTGTTGACAAATTACAGGTGTACGTGTGTTGACAAATTACATGTGTACGTGTGTTGACAAATTACAGGGGTACCTGTGTTGACAAATTACAGGTGTACCTGTGTTGACAAATTACAGGTGTACGTGTGTTTGACAAATTACAGGTGTACGTGTGTTGACAAATTACAGGTGTACGTGTGTTGACAAATTACATGTGTACGTGTGTTGACAAATTACAGGGGTACGTGTGTTGACAAATTACATGTGTACGTGTGTTGACAAATTACAGGGGTACCTGTGTTGACAAATTACAGGTGTACCTGTGTTGACAAATTACAGGTGTACGTGTGTTTGACAAATTACAGGTGTACGTGTGTTGACAAATTACAGGTGTACGTGTGTTGACAAATTACAGGGGTACCTGTGTTGACAAATTACAGGTGTACCTGTGTTGACAAATTACAGGGGTACGTGTGTTGACAAATTACTGGTATACGCGTGTTGACAAATTACAGGTGTACGTGTGTTGACAAATTACAGGTGTGTTGACATATTCGGTGTGAACATTCGGAAATGAAAACTTTATAATGATGTGATTGTTGTTAATACATACAATTGTTTTGTGTAAGGGTGACACCGATTTAAAAGTAAATGGAAACCTTTAATATGACTTAACCGGTGTAAACGTGTGTGAAAATAATCCTGTCAGAAAAAACATGTCTAATGCTGTAAGTGTTGATATCAGATGATTACCTGATAAATGTTATTATTTACTGGCGTATATTTCACTGATACCATCACCGACTAGCGATCACCGACCAACGCAGTGTTATAACTTAAAGTTTCCAATATAAATTATTCAATGTTGATGCATAAAGCTAGAAAAGAGACAAGAAATGAGGTGACGAGACTTAGTGTTGTGTTGATAATGTGATGTACCATACGTCTGCCCCTGATTTACATACAGATGAGTCCGGGCCGTGTAAGCACCTGGCTATTGAAACACACCTATATGTACCTGAAATCACATCCTGATTTTTTAGAAAATTGAAATTTATAAAAAAAAAATCCAATTAACAGTTATGCACTTAAGCTTTTCTTACGCCATATTTATCTTTTGGTTTAGATTTGAATAAGAAGACCTGTTGTGATTTTGTGTATTTGAGTATGAATGGATAGTTTAGATGTAGGGTGTATATCCCTACAAAAAGGTTGTAATACTTAAACAGGGGTATTCAAGGTCAATGGGCTGTGAAATGTCTAGGGGTTGAAAAGTTTTAGAAATGATTTGAAGAGCTGTCAACAAAACTCATGTGTGGATACATTTCCTATGGAGTGTCAACTAGACGAGACACTATCAAAAATCTCATCAGCATTTATTACTCACAAACCTACAGATTCAATAGCTCCAGCCCCAGGTATGAAACAGAATCTGGTTCGGTGTATGTCTGAGATAGCATTGTCCCCAAATTAAATTACGTACCTCTTTCAAAGTACTAACTTAAGTGACAAGAAATCGTCAATTTTATCTAAGACTTGCAGATGATAGTACTTTAAATAAATAAGTTGACAGTGTTTTGTGAGATCGTACTCAAAAAAACGTCGAGGTTTGTTTGATCAGACGCAATGTGCTCCTTTGTTATGTATGTGTCATCGAAATTTAACGGGGAAAAAATTACGTGCCAAATCTTGCATTCTTCTCTATGACAAATATGTTTAAGCGATTATCAAGTCGTAAGTTCTTTTGAAACAAGTCCTGATTCCAATCAGAGTGTTACAATCGCTGTCATATTGGTGTACCATTATAGGCGGAGGTATTGTTGATCACAATGATATTGTATTAAAATACACACAGTTATCCGTATTATGATACATGGGTAAGGGGATTCAAGGATTAAACAAGGATTAAATTTAAAAGTTTCTAGCCTTTGGTGATTTTGCCCTGTGTACAATCCGACTTGACAAATGGGCGATATGACAGGCGAATGCCAAGGATTTGTATTTCTATCACTGCTTTTTGTATACATGACATGACGTAGGATCACTAGGCTTTTGAAACAAGCTATATATATTATTGGAGGTGTGAGATAGAGAAATGGGGACCTCCGGACAGGGTTGGATAATCATCGGACAGACAGTTAGACAGAAGTGGACAGACATACAAGGAGGGTACATCCAGGATAGCATATATATACCAACACAGACACATTCGTTACAATAAGTTGGCAGATCCAGAGAGACCGACAGACAGACAGACAACACTGGATAGATGATCCAGACTGACAGGAAGATGAACAGACAGACAGACAAAGACAAAACAGGGGAGATAACAAACTTGTCCAATTACACAGACAGACCTGGATAGTACATGGAAAATGATAGACCTGCCCAACTAAGAAAAGACACTGGATAGTACTGGGAAAATGATAGACCTGCCCAACTAACAATAGACAGAACTGGATGACTAACCCAGCCAAACAAACGGATGGACAGACAGACATGGCCAGTCTTCAGGCGACGACAAGCTAAACAAAACAGACAAACATTGCTAGTACTGAGGAAAGACAATGAACCAAACCAAACAGACGGATGGACAGACAGACATGGCCAGTCCTCAGGCGATGACGAACTAAACAAAACAGACAAACAGTGATAGTACTGAGGAAAGACAATAAACCCAGACAAGAAAGACAAACTGAAAGACAAGGCATCTACTTGGGAGATGACAAGCCTGCCCAGTAAGACAGACTGAGCACTACTCGGGAAAGATGACAAAACCAACCAGAACAGACAGACAGATGGACAGACGAGGCCAGTACACAGAAGCTTACGTGGCAGTACTGAGGAAAGACACACCCATCCAGCCCTAATTAAGTACCCTTAGGATTTTACTTCTGGGGGGTTCTTCAAAGAATCGGTGTCGTTAAATGTCAATAAATAATGAGTATTTGTAAGGAAATCTTCCTTCATGATCCAGTACAGAGGTATATACAGTAGGTATAACAAGGACAATCATACAATGACAATCACACAATCACTGCATATCACTCCTACCTGATTGCTCCCCACTGTGTGAGGTTCTAGTGTCAAGTTACTCTTTACAAATGGTGACTGAAATTCAAAGCAAATAATTGATTCCAGAATGGTATAATGTCAGTAATGCAAATCAGCATGTGCCTCTTTGTCATTAAGTTCCAAATGGGAAAGATCAGAAATATTTACACAATTACTTATATTTGTAATTGAGTTTGAATATTACGTTCCAAACTAAGTAATATGATATTTTCTTACATCACTGTTATTAGTCTTGATTCGGGTGGGTGTGAAGGTCAAATATCTTCGTGTTTGTAAGGTCAAGGATTTGCACAAGAATGGTGGAAAGTTATTCAGGTCACATCTTGCCTTTGTTACAAAGTTAGGTCTGATGGTTTTTCTCAAATCTTTGTATGTTTGTAATTGTTACATTTTCCTTTTCTTTTTACGTGAATTTCAAATTAATGTACACTTTGTGCATGTATTTACTTATGTGAAATTCGTTTTGTGTTAACAGCCAGACGTGATCGGGAGTTTGACCGGACTCCTGGAGTTATGGTGCGACCACAACCAAATAGCCCAGGTCACCCCGGTAAGTCACATGTTACTCCGATTAATCATTGGACCAATCAGCATCGTCTTAATAGGTTATAAGTCATGTGGCCAGCACACATCATCATGTGACTTGTTATGTTATGCATTGCCCTTGGTAGTAACGTTAACTCAAACAGCCAATCCATGTTTCACCCTTGAGTCACATGACCGTCCATTCTTGCTCATCTTAGCGTCTCTAGACGCGACGATGTCTGGATCTTCGCACGATCGCAATAAAGCTAATTATATCTAATTGGCTAATTAGCAAGATTTTGTGTCTGGCTAACAAACGTATTGGAAGCACTTCTATTGTTGTTGATAAATTCTGTTTTTATAATTGTCTGACGATGTTTTTACAATTTTGAGAAAATAATAACTAAAGACACCAAAATTGCTTTTCAAAATATTGAAATTGAGGAAACATTTTTTACAGATTCACAATATTTGCAATGAATTTTTGAAAATTGGTGTTAAAATGACTATGTAGACAATGTGGAACGTGGTAAAAACAAACGGTAATTAATAAAATGCAACGTCACAGTGACAATGATATCTGTCCCGGTGCTTGATGTGTTGTAATTTATAGAGTAATGGCTTTCTTATTGACTGGTGAAAAGTTTCATGTATTTTCAGTATAAAAACAAGTGTTAGACTAAACTTTATAATTACTTTTTGTCACAGAAATGTCCTTGTAATGAGAGCTCGTCTGTCACTCTTGCCTTACAAAGAAATCTGCCGAATAATGTTCATGAACTGACAAAAATAAATTAGAATAAAGAAAAAACATGAAATTATGCAAGTCTGACTGCTGTTGTAATGGCATTTTTTGTGTAAAGTCATTGTCACTCTCTGTCTTCGCATTTATGTTTGAATTCTGTGTTGACACCTGGCTGCGGTGGTGTTGCCGTCTGCTACTGTACTTGACTCAAATCGTACCACAGTACCATTGCCCCTGTGTGTCTCATGTTTCTGACATGTAGAAAGGAATTTGAAGGGGTTAGACAGAAGTTAAAAGCAAGTCATGAATGTCATCTACAGTGTTACAAGAATGCTATTTAACGCTGTACAGTTGAATGAAAGCATTTAGTGGAGAGCAGAAATTGATTTCAGAATACCCTTCCTGTCTGGTTTCAATGAAATCATAGCATGCATTACTGAAAATACATTTGTTTTTCCCGCCATATTCATTTTGGGATTATTTCTAAGTATTAAGTCTCGAAGTATTTGATTATGTTTGTCAGAATTATCTTTAAGTCCTGCTGTAAGTTTTGGGTTGATGATATCGGTTTTCTACCTATGGTTTTGTCAATGTCGCATCCTTCGGTGGTGTTCGTGTATAGTTAGTTATCTATGGCCCAGTATACCTGTAACGGCTGGGTTAACTGTCCGACTCTACATCACAGGTAAGGCAGACAGAAACGCAGCAAAACGTTGTAACAGTACACACAAGTTATACGCCTTTGTCACGGGGATCTCCTGTCAGTCCTTTCACCAACCTTCTTGTGCATCACAGCCATTACTGGTTTAGTGCAGGCATCTATACCGTTTTACATAGCCATTACACTCAGGAATACAATATCACCATTTTTTAAACGTCTGGTTGAGCTTTTCGCCGACACTTGATACCGAATTTCTTTTTAATTGTTGGTTTGAAAGGTGTTGGGTCAGATGGTCTTTGTGATAACTTTACTGTGTGGTGAACTCCCGTCGGATAATCTGGCTGTATTGTCCCCACCAGACTTTGTTTTATTTCAACCCCCGGAGAAATCAGATATTTATGCTTTAATTACTGTTATTTCACTTACATGCATCATTTAAACTTTTAAAAGTTGGTGTGCGATAAGTCAGGGAGTTATCTTCAAGGTACCTTTCATTACGTACTCTGAACATACATGTATGTCGATCAAGACTATTTTCAAGAGAGTTTCCTACATTTTGAACCAGACTGAATAATAAATGAATGTTTGCTATGTCATGGTGTTTCTCTTAAAAAGATCTAATAAATCTTAAGCAAAATTGGGAAAAATATCAATATTGTATCTTTGATAAAAAATAGCGATACACATGAAATAGTTTAAAACTCATTAGTGGGCATGGCTGGTGGTTTTGAATGAAAATGAACCGTCAACATTTTCAATTCATGAACAGGAAAACTCGTAAACAGAACCAAATATGTTTATAACTTTTCTAAATTAAATTTCCTGTGCAGTTGTAGATCAAATTTAAGTATGGTGGTGGATTTGAAAGCTGATATGATGAGCGCATCACTTGTACAGTACTATCTTATTACATTCATGAGTGGAATTTCAATGACAAAACGGTCTTGTTTGGCCGTAAAATTCTAACCTGATCCACGTGTGTCATATATAGAAGGAGATTTATTGTTCAGCTATTTTCTTTTTTCAATGTTCAAAATTCTGAAGTTTTCATCTTCCATCAAATAGGCAACGGCCATCATCAACATAGCATGATCCATGGAACATGTTGCTTTCCACACAATTTTGTTTTTACTCCCTACATCGATTGATAAAATCTCTGAGAGACGCTGGCAGCCATTTGTGTTTTGAAAACTACTCCTAATGACATAACAGACATCACTGCATTCAAGTGCATTCCAAAATCATGATAACCCACATATGTTGAAAGACCATGTTTATGTGTGTATGGAAGTATCCTAAGAGAGATTGTGTACCCCAGTATGGTGCTGACCATGTGTCTCGGTAACATATGGGTGGTGTTGTCCTCCATATTTTTCCTTCCTAGACTCTATTTACAGATAATACATAATGAGGTTTCTACGGTAACTATTTACCCTGTACTTTACAGATGTTTCTACTGTAACTTTTTACCCTGTACTTTACAGATGATACATTATGGGGTTTCTACTGTACCTGTTTACCCTGTACTTTACAGATGATACATTATGAGGTTTCTACTGTAACTTTTCACCCTGTACTTTACAGATGATACATTATGACGTTTCTACGGTAACTTTTTACCCTGTACCTTACAGATGATACATTATGAGGTTTCTACGGCAACTTTTTACCCTGTTCTTTACAGATGATAAATTATGAGGTTTCTACCGTAACTTTTTGCCCTGTTCTTTACAGATGATACATTATGAGGATTCTACCGTAACTTTTTGCCCTGTACTTTACAGATAATACATTATGAGGTTTCTACGGGAACTTTTTGCCCTGTACTTTACAGATGATACATTATGGGGTTTCTACTGTACCTGTTTACCCTGTACTTTACAGATGATACATTATGAGGTCTCTACGGTAACTTTTTACCCTGTACTTTACAGATGATACATTATGGGGTTTCTACTGTACCTGTTTACCCTGTACTTTACAGATGATACATTATGAGGTCTCTACGGTAACTTTTTACCCTGTACTTTACAGATGATACATTATGAGGTCTCTACGGTAACTTTTTACCCTGTACTTTACAGATGATACATTATGGGGTTTCTACTGTACCTGTTTACCCTGTACTTTACAGATGATACATTATGAGGTTTCTACTGTAACTTTTCACCCTGTACTTTACAGATGATACATTATGAGGTTTCTACGGTAACTTTTTACCCTGTACCTTACAGATGATACATTATGAGGTTTCTAAGGTAACTTTTTGCCCTGTACTTTACAGATGATAGGGAACCTGAAGCAGCTCATGTTCCTAGATTGTACCAAGAACCGGATCCAGACCCTGCCCAATGAGATTGAGGGCTGTGTGTCCTTGGCTGACCTTCACCTCACGGGCAACCATCTCCAGGGCCTTCCCGAGTCTATGGGTAAGTGTTCATGTGCCCATAACTCACCTTAAAAGCCTTCTTCCAGGGTCTATGGGTAAGTGTTAATGTGCCCATTTAACTCGCCTTAAAAGCCTTCGTGAGTCTATGGGTAAGTGTTAAATTAAGTGCCCATAGCCTTCCTGAGTCTATGGGTAAGTGTTAATGTGACCATACCTTAACATAAAAGCCTTCCTGAGTCTATGTGTAAGTGTTAATATTTCTTATACCACAGGCAACCATGTCCCAGACCTTCACAAAACTCTTGAGTAAAGGCCTTACAGGGTCTATGGGTATATGTTTATGCATGTTTTTGCCATAGGCAACTACCTCAATGGCATTTTCGAATCTTTTTAAGGCTTTCTTGAGTCTTTTGGTAAATGATAGTATTTAATTGTCATCAGGCTGAAACAGTATTTAATTGTCATCAGGCTGAAACTACCAGTTGTGACCTTTGGACAATCATAAAAAAAAAAAATGGAGGACATTTTGTGTGGCAGCATTTTCCTATTTTCAGGAGTATTTGGGGAAGTGTAGGTGACCCTTACTTTCTTGAAGAGTTTAGAGGTTTTCATTGAAGTCGTGACTTTTGTCTTTTGTTCGAAAGAACCATGCGTACACATTTTTTTATATGTGTCATTTGATAATAAAGACCGCAGAACAGATCACATGACATCAACCATCAACTGTAGCCTGAGCTCTTGAGAACTGAAGGACCTGGGGTTAGAGGTTATGTGAAATCACAGGTTAACCAGTGGAACTTAACTTTTCCCTGACATGTACTCGAACCTAATGGAATTTTAATGATATGCTGAATTGAAAATAGTGTTGTTTTTCTTCTGATTCAAACAAAAGGGTTCTTCTCCATTTCCTTCAGTGCTAATTCTAAATGAGTTGGGCACAATGGTAAATGAGTTGCGCACAAAAGGCCTTAAGTCCCCATTTTACATGGCTGGTGAGCTAGCGATAACAGGTTCCTTCCACAGGACATGATACAGTCACGCCAAACGCTGTAAAACAGGGAGTCCGAGACATTCCGGGGTCAGCTAGGTATCGGCTTAAAACACTTGGACATTATATTAGGTATTTGCTTGATTGGAGGTAACGATTATACGACTAGGCAATAGCGCTATCATGTGTCCATGTGCATGTCCGTTGTTGCGTGCATCTTGCTAGATTCTAAAACCATTTGTATACACAAAGGCTGTCGATTAAGCATGATGGCCGTCCTTTGTACCTGGCGTTTTAAACATTGACAAGATAAAGAATTTGCCATCAGATTGTAAAATAAAAAACAACGGTAGTGAAGTCAGTCTGCCAATCACTCATCAGTGTGGTTCAAACTGGTCAAGTACCCATTCTCTACTGTCTGTGTTATATTAGTTCCTGTGAGGGGCGAAGTTTGATACGGACTCGGCTAGAACAGCAGACGTCGGACGGAAACTATCTTATCTGTACAGATCTTTGTTAAATGACGAGTGAAATATATAACAATTTGATGCCGTTTAGTTTTCAATTAAAATTCAACCAATTCATAGAAGAAGAAAAAAAGGTTATTTCACATTTGACAAATTGTACAACATAGCAAGGCGGACACCTCCTGTATACAAAAGTTATGAAAAAGATTCAAAGAATGTTCTCATGCATCAATATGAAAATGATCACCGATGCATTTCATTTTCATATACATTTAATTTGACTTATGATTAAAGATGCTTCCACATCTCTGTGTTCTATAAAATATGTTTGCGTATATAGGCATCTCTTTATGCAACAAAAGAAATTTTAAATGAAAGTTTTTATGAAAATACACTTTGAGGGAAAAGATGCTCCGATTTTTTGATAAATTCCTCTATAAATCATGCAATCTCGACGCAATAAATCGGGCGCAAATTGGCCTGATGCTGATTATATCAGTATAAAACGTTTAAGCGTGAGATGTTCGGATTACGAGTCCCGAGGGTGATCTTATCCCTGGGTATAAGATACCCCTCATTTTCATTCTAATGTTCTTGTACAGTAAAAATGTACATTAAGGTGGTATGTAGCCATTGGTCGGTTAGATTTCCCACAGATATTTTCTCAGGTATTACGGCGACTGTTAAACACGGGAGAATTTTGTTATTTCATACCTGCCCTTGTTTGCGCTGCCAGATGAAAGGCAGATTCACCATGTCAACTGAAACTGATAACTCCAGTTAACTATGGAATTGACAATTACTGTACATCAATCAATTTACAAAAACAAGATTTATTGTGTTTGTGTAGAAGATTTGAAACATGGGTCGATGATTTTACAGCCATCTCAGACTGGTTAATTGTACTACGAAACAGAGAAATCACACGGAGAAAGGAGGCGGCGGCATGACGCTGTATAGCCATTTATGTGTTTGTGTCCATAAAAGTTTGATATGGTCATGGGAGAGACGACAACTTTTAAGTTCAATTTTTGTGAGAGGAAAAGTCGTAGTTATCGTACACTGTCAAATTTGTGTTCGTTAAATGGGTCCTAAGACTATAAAACACCTGATAAATAAATGTAACCTACCCCCCAGAACGTTTGGTAACGGGTACTAACGCTGTAACCGGTGTCACCCTCCGAAATATTATCACATGTACAGGTATACGTTCATGAGGAAAATGACAAACATTTTATAACATATTAAAATGAAAAATTTTCTGAACAGTGACAAAACACCTTTCAAGTATTCGTTTTAAAGGATGTAGTAAAATCAGCTATGAAATTTGACATGTGAACAGGGTTTTTACGACTGTAACACCAGACACATTTACCTATTGGTAAACGCTGCCCTCACTGGGACATGGACAATGGGAGCACAAATCTTCCGAGATGGTGGTTATGGCAAAACATGGGCAGAATTTTGAATTCTGTATATTTGGCATAAACTTAATTTATGAATGAACATTTCTGTATCTATTTCAGAGGACTTTCATTTGTATCTCACTCAACTTGTATATCTGATTGCATAATTGTGCGATACTTAAATTCAAAATTTAAGTTTAATGCAAATTTATGTGAAAATATATATGACATAAAATAAAACAGCATTATGTGTGATACACTTAAGATCTTATCTTTCACGCTTTTCTAAATGCTTCTTTTTAATGACCCAAATTTCTTCTTAAGAAGAAAAAACTTTTGAAATATTTTGTCAAAAATGGATTCATAAGTTCAGGAATATGTTTTTTAAGTTCGTTAATTCTAAATGTAGTACTGAGAAGTGTTTGAGAAGGAAGTTTTAGTAATGTTATAGTGTTTAGTGGCGTTATCCTACCTAAAAGTCAAGTTAACGTGCTAAACAGGTCAGTTCATTATGATATTTAATAGGAGTTGTAACAAGTTTTTATGTTTTAAATATTACAAATTTATTACACCTATGATACATTTTTAGAAGTTTAATAGACTTTAAGACAATGTGTATTATGTTTAAAGGCTAAGATATACCATTAACTATTTCAAAAATTATTGTGCACTTGAAATTTGAAGATCTTTTCAAAGGAAAAAATATGTCAAGACTTGAGAAAAAAATACCTGACCAAGGTCATTAAAAAATTGCAACATTTTCAAAAAAGATTTTAATCTTGATGTTGGCCTAGAAGTTGGTGTACTGACACCGTGTACCACTGGGGTATTTTTTACCGACAACACAACTCCGGTTATCATCCAGAAATGGCACTGGTGATATATCGTGTGCTCACACGTAGCCTGTTTTACCGTGTTCCGTGACCGGACATTCAGACCCAAACCCTTTAGGTGTGATTGTGGACGGAATTGTCAAAGTGTTTGTCAATAACAAGTCTATTGTCATACTTAGCAGTTAAGTAGCCTAGCTGGACAATGGCGCTGTCGCGGATCACCGACCGTGTTTAATCTGAGGATCTCTCGAGATTACTGGGGCGAGATACAACATTTTTAACGGTAAACTTGGACATGCTATCAGGACACCTATTGTGACAGATTCTTGTAGTAATTTGGCATTCGTCATAACTTTACAATGTTTAGATTTGGAGACGCAGTCGGGAGATAATTAACGCTCTAGTTTCCATCTGGGAAAACAATAAATTTGATTCAGACCCAATTTAGACTGTTACTAAGTTTTCTGATTTGTTTGGAATTTTTTTCTATGGATCATACACTTTAACTAAATTAAAGGGGCCAGGGTCGCCATCTACAATCACTAGCCCTCCACTACTGGGTTGCACTGGTTTGCTGCCTATGTGGGGCAGTCACCAGGTACTGGCCATAGCTTGGTGGTTTTTCTTTCCAGTTTAATTCTCTCCAGTTTTCTTCCACCACCAAACCCTGGCACGTCCTTAAATGACCATAGCTGTTTATAGGACATAAAACACAAACAATCCAAACAAACCTTAGGTGAAATATGTCTCTATTCTATCATTGAAACCAATTTCAGCAAAAGGATGAAACTTTGGCTGTGTGTTATTGCTAATACAAATGTATTAATCTGTTAAGGTTAACGGAGACAGGCTTGTTGAGTTTTAACCGAGATAAGTTTGTTGAGTCTTGAGTATTTTGACCTCAGCAAGATAAATACAAGTAGACAGTCAACCTTACAAACTGTTTCAAAGTAGTCTTGTTATCTTCTCTAGAAAATGTCAAAGTCGAACAATATTTACGTAAACGGAACTGTTTGAAAAGGAGGAATGGATAAATTCAGTTGTTTTAGGTCAGTTTTTTATACACACTTATGTTGAGAATCTTAATATCACTGTTAAAAGCCCCGAGACTAATATATGTGTGTGTCGTTAGGGATTGTGTGGCTCTACATCGTAATGTTTATAGATAGAGCTAACCCTTGGCGCCCGTCTACTTTCAGTTTCCTATATCTTTTTATTTGCCTATTTTTACAAACTTCGTGTCGGCACCTGTAGATGGGACCATTGTGTCTCGGGACATCCCTACTGTTTTCTGACCCCACAGGATTCAGAGATATGGAAATCAGGATCTTTCTGGTCAATAGATT